AAAAGCACACTGTATACACTGTACATTAGCTAATTTGTCAATAAATTACATTTAAAAAATAGTAATAAATAAATAAATAAATAAATAAAACCTAGTTTGTCTGATATAAGTATGGCTACTCCAGCTTTCTTTTGACATCCAGTAGCATGATAGATGGGTCTCACTTTCAATCTGCAGGTGTCCTAAGGTCTCAAATGAGTCTCTTGTAGGCAGAATATAGATGGATTTTGGTTTTTTTTCAATCCATTCTGATACTCTATGTCTTTTTATTGGGACATTTAGTCCACTTACATTCAGAGTGATGATTGAAAGATATGGATTTATTGCCATTGTATTATCTGTAAGTTTCATATTGTGGTGAGGTCTCCGATCCTTTGTAGTCTTTGCTGCTACTTCCCATTCAGAGTCCTCCTTAGGATTTTCTGCAGGGCTGGTTTAGTGGTCATGAACTCCTTTAGTTTTTGTTTGTCTGGAAAAGCCTTTATCTCTCCTTTTATTCTGGACAGACTTTCTGGATCAAGGATTCTTGGCTGAATATCTTTCCTATTCAGCACATTGAATATTTCCAGCCACTTCCTTCTGACCTGCCAAGTTTCAGTGGACAGGTCTGCTACTAACATTATGTGTCTACCCTTGTAGTAGACACATAAAGTACACAAAAAAACCTTTTGTGTCTAGCTGTTTTCAGAACTCTCCTTCAAATCTTTGTATTTTGTAAGTTTCACTATGATATGTCATGGCGTTGACCTGGTTTGTTAGTTTGAAGGGAGTTCTATGTGCCTCTTGAATTTGTATGCCTGTTTCCTTCCCCAGATTAGGGAAGTTCTCAGCTATACTTTGCTCAAATAAACCTTCTGCCCCCTTTTCTCACTCTTCTTCTCCTGAGACTCCTATGATTTGGATATTTTTTAGTTTCTTGGAATCACTTATTTCTCCTAGTCTCCCCTCATGTTCTAGTAATTTCCTTTCCCTCTTTTTTTCAGCTTAATTTTTTTTCTGTAAGTTTATCTTCTACTTAACCTATTCTCTCCTCCACTTCTTCCATCTTTGCAGTCACTGTATCATTTGTTTTGCATCTCAGTTATAGCATTTTTAAATTTATCCTGACTAGTTCCTAGGTCTTTGGTGTCTGCAGAAAGGTTTTCTCTGGTGTCTTGTGTGCTTTTTTCAAGCCCAGCTAGTAGTCTTATGACTGTTATTCTAAATTGTTGTCAGATATATTGTTTATATCTGTTTTGAGCAAATCTCTGGCTGTCATTTCTTCCTGAATTTTCTTTTGAGGAGAGTTCTTCTGTTTCATTATTTTGGCTAGGTTTCTGTCTTTTACATGTTTTTTTTTTTTTGTTTTT